GCCAAAAGTGGGAGGGAGGGAGAAGAGAACATAGATGCCATCAAGGTCATTCCCTTCTTCATAGCCCAGTTAGGCCATTTAAGCCATGTTTGCACTAGGAAATCTCAGATTCAGGCCTTACATGGGTGGAATTTGAACAGAGAGTGTTCAGGCCGGGAGGAGGGCTGAAGGCCAAACTATACATTCATCTGCATGGTTTCTGTTATGTAAACAGTGGGTATGAGGAAACCCTGAGCAGTTTTGGGACTGTGGGGCGTGGGGAAGGGAAACCCCTCCCTCCCCCAACCATGGCCTTGAGTAAAATAACCTCTCCAACACTACAGTTTGCATTTTAAGGGAAACTGCCATGGGTCCACCCAAGATAGTGCACCAGTTTCCCCAGTTCCTATGGAGGGCTGCTGCTTGAGCATCTCTCCTGTCAGAAGCTGGAAACTTTCCACTAGAAACCTAAACGTAGTGAGATCTCCCATTTCCTGGTCAGAGGAGTTCCTGGATGAGGCCGCAGGCTGTCGCTGTTCAACATTTTTTGTTGTTGTCACATTAAAGGTAAAGGTAAAGGTACCCCTGCCCGTATGGGCCAGTCTTGACAGACTCTAGGGTTGTGCGCTCATCTCACTCAAGAGGCCAGGGGCCAGCGCTGTCCGCAGACACTTCCGGGTCACGTGGCCAGCGTGACGAAGCTGTATCTGGCGAGCCAGAGCCGCACACGGAAACACCGTTTACCTTCCCGCTAGTAAGCGGTCCCTATTTATCTACTTGCACCCGGGGGTGCTTTCGAACTGCTAGGTTGGCAGGCGCTGGGACCGAGCAACAGGAGCGCACCCCGCCGCGGGGATTCGAACTGCCGACCTTTCGATCGGCAAGCCCTAGGCACTGAGGCTTTTACCCACAGCGCCACCCGCGTCCCCTTGTCACATTACTGCTGTGCAAATTGCTTGACTCCATAAAACATAATGAAATATGGTCAAACACGTTTTAACCCTATGGCTCATAATCACCACACTGGACTTAGAGACCTGAGGCATACTTACACTCCTACCTGAGTAGACTCACTTCTACCTGGCCTGGCCCCAAACTCAGCACATAGGAACAGAGCCTGATGGATCAGAACAATGGCCCATGTAGTCCAGCACCTGATCTTACGGTGACCAACCAAGATGCCTGTGGGAGATTTTTAAGGAGGACCTGAGCACAAGAGCATTCTCCCCTCCTGTGGTTTCCAGCAATTGGTATTCAGAAGCAGATGATGTTGTCCTACAGGTTCTTACCATTTAGGCAAAAACTGAAAACACCGTTTGCAGATAAACTGTGGTAAAGCTGAAGAGTCAAATTATCTTTTCCCCCCATTCTTTTTTTATTGTTGATATAGACTAATCTTTATTTTAGTTACTGTTTTTTTATGTTGATTGTATATCATGGAGGTTGTTGTTAGCTACACTGGGCTCCTATGGGAGGAAGGGTAGGATGTAAGCATTAAGAAATAGTAGTAATAAGAAAGTTTGTATGCAGCAGGAAAAAGGGAGCTACAGTGAAGCTTGGGAAGCCCTTGAGATGTGATCTCTCCTCCCCAACCCAGACTGTGCTGGCCTTATGGATAGATGCGACTGGCCTCTGAATAGTTTTGCTAAATTGCAATCCCTTCCCTTCCCTTCCATTCAAGGAGTCTTGGACCAGAAGGCACATTTTGAATTTTGAGAGAGTGGGCGCCAGTCATAAAATGGCTACCGTGGCATAACACAAAATTAGAAGTACAGTGGTACCTCAGGTTACATACGCTTCAGGTTACAGACTCCGCTAACCCAGAAATATTACCTCGGGTTAAGAACTTTGCTTCAGGATGAGAACAGAAATCGTGCAGCGGCGGCACAGCAGCAGCAGGAGGCTCCATTAGCTAAAGTGGTGCTTCAGGTTAAGAACAGTTTCAGGTTAAGAACAGACCTCCAGAACAAATTAAGTACTTAACCCGAGGTACCACTGTACTCTCTGACATTTCTTCGATGAAAATAGGGACATCCTATTCCTTAATAACATTAATAATAATTCTGCTATTATACAGTTTCAGGTTAAGAACAGACCTCCAGAACGAATTAAGTTCTTAACCCGAGGTACCACTGTATAGTAATTGCTTCTCCCTCCTCCCCGGGACAAGTTCAAGTTTGCCATGGAAGTCAGCTGTGTCCTGCTGTTCCAGATTGTGCAGATCACGCAATATTGATTTCCCCACTCTACTGCACAAAATACACAAAGTGTTGCAGCTGTATTTTCTAGTACCAAGAAAAATACACATCTCTTTCTCTCTGTCCTCTCTCTCACACACAGGTAAGCACAGATTGCAAAAAATTAAAATCTCTCCCCTTTTTTCTGCTTAAGTGCATCTCTCTCAATCAGACACATAGAGCATGTTTGAGCAACCCATTCACCCCAATTCAGATAAGCCTCTCCACAAGCAAAGGAAACAACAACATTTTTTTATTTATACCGCAGCCTTTCTGGGTGTCTTCCAACACACATAAAAATAACAATAAAACCTCAAACATTAATAGTAACAATCTGATCCAATATAAAAGTCACAGTAACAATAAGGTAGAACTTACAATGCCTGTCATTAAATACCGTATTTTTTGCTCTATAAGACTCACTTTCCCCCTCCTAAAAAGTAAGGGGAAATGTGTGCGCGTCCTATGGAGCGAATGCAGGCTGCGCAGCTATCCCAGAAGCCAGAACAGCAAGAGGGATCGCTGCTTTCACTGCGTAACAATCCCTCTTGCTGTTCTGGCTTCTGAGATTCAGAATATTTTTTTTTCTTGTTTTCCTCCTCCAAAAACTAGGTGCGTCTTGTGGTCTGGTGCATCTTATAGAGCAAAAAATACGGTAAATGTTCACCGACCTGGTGCCCAAGAACACCAGTGAATACCTTTGGAGGTTTAGGGTTGGCAATCGCTGCTCTATTCATATGTATGGAAGCTGGAAAAGGGGCAGGAATTAGGAAAGGCCTTGGAGGACCTTGAGAGCCCCCCCCACACACACACCTTGCCAAATGCAACAGAACATTGGGGCAAGGACAGCAAAATTAAATGACCTTTAGGGCAGAAAAATATGTTGCGTTTACCTTGTATGCAGTGGCCTCTCTATGGTGCAGGTCACCAACAATTTGTGTTTTACAAAGGAACAACATACTGGGAAAGGTTCAGAGAGAAACTTTTAAGGAGGACACGTTGGATCTAAGAAAGAAAACTGTTTAAAGGGAAGACAGAAGAAGCTGGTTATGGCCAGCCTAGAAGAAAGAAAAGTAATAAGATATTATGTTGGCCATTTTCAGTTATGGAAATAGATGCTAGTTAAAAAGAGCAAGGGGAAAGCAGCTGCTCACACTTTCCCTTTGGATGCGTGGCTTGAATAGTTTGTGTATATATCCACCCAAGACAGCGAAGTACATTCCTTACAGTTAATTGCTTTCCTTTCCTTACAGAGTATGTAATCCACCAAGTGATCACTTTCCATCTCTGTAGCTAGCAGGACAGCAGAAGTGGGCAGTTACAGGGCGAGCAATTAACATCAGTATGGTTGCACTAATATTGCTTTCAAAAATCTGGTTGCTGCATGGCCAAGGCCAAGACTAAGACTGTGTAAAATTAAATTTTAAAGCGGCATCTCCGAAACTTCTAAAATGGCCCTTTTCCGAATTAGAAACTGAAGGCACACTTCACTCCATACCCTCCAACATTTCTCTGATGAAAATAGGGCTGTCCAGGGCTATTTTTTCTAGAAAAAGAGGTGCCGGAACTCACCATTAACACCTCCCTCCTCCTCTTAGAATGGCAAAGGTGCCAGAACTAAGTTCTGGTGAGTTCCAGCTGAAAAACAGCCCCGGGGATGTTCTATTCCATACCCTCCAACACTTAGCCAAGTATCTAAAGGCCTGTCACATGGAAGATGGAGCAAGCTTGTTTTTTCCTGCTCCGGAAGCTAGGACCAGGACCATTGGCTTCAAGTGACAAGAAAGGAGATTCCATCTAACATCTGGAAGAACTTTCTGACAGTCATGGATGCTTTGGTTGAGATTCCTGCATTGCAGGGGTTCAGACTAGATGCCCCTCAGGGTCCCTTCCATCTCTACAGTTCTGTGATTCCAGGTGAACACAGAACAAAAGACGCTGTCTTAAGTTATTTATTTATTATTTAATTATTTTCATTTCATTTATTAAATTGGTATACGCCCTTCATCCTTAGATCTCGTGGCGACTCACAGCATCAATTACATTGAGTCAGACCCTCAGTCCTCCCAGTTCAGTATTGTGCACAGAGACTGGTAGCAGCTATTGAGGATTTCAGGCAAGAGCCTTTCCTAGAGATCAGGTGCCAGGAGTTGAACATGGGATCTTTTGCATCTGCAAGGTAGCCAACAGCAGAAAGCGATTACAAATGGCATGACAGAAAAATCACACGCAGTGAGCAGCTTATTCTCCTGTGCGTATACGTTTATTGGGCTTACTTATTTCATATGGCAAACTAAAGGTAAAGAACGACTATGGGGTTGTGGCATTCATCTCATTTTCAAGCCGATGGAGCCGGCGTTCGTCCACAGACAGCTTTCTGGGTCATGTGGCCAGCATGACTAAACCGTTTCTGGCGCAACGGGACACCGTGACGGAAACCAGAGCGCACAGAAATGCTGTTTACCTTCCCGCCGCGGTGGTACCTATTTATCTACTTGCACTGGTGTGCTTTCAAACTGCTAGGTTGGCAGGAGCTGGGACAGAGCAATGGGAACTCGCCCCGTTGCAGGGACTTGAACCGCCAATCTGCCGATCGGCAAGCCCAAGAGGCTTAGTGGTTTAGACCACAGCACCACCCACTATCCCTATATATGGCAAACTAGTGCTTCTCTCGCACCACCCCATTTGTGAATGATGCAACGTATGCAGGTGTCTTTCTGATTCTACTCCGTTTCCTCTTAAACTTGTGGTATTTCTTATCTCCCTTCTCTTCTTGCCTCTTAGGTCCAGCCAGCCACAATAGCTCCCTCTTGACATCGCTCCCCATCCCGGGACGGTCCCTGCATTCGCCGCTGGACATCAAGCATTTCCTGACCTTCCGCTTCAATGGGGCCCCCCAGCTCAACCTCTTCCCCAACTTCAACACGGTGAGTTTGTTACTTGACCTGGTCTAAATGTTACTGAGGAGGAGGCATCCTGCTCGAGCAGAGAGGTTACCAGAGAGCTTTCTCCATCTGCGGAGGGCTAACTGCAAAACTGTCCTACATCTCCCGGGTCAAAACATGCAGTGGAATCGCCGCTTGCTCCACCGTGTGATTGCTGATGTGTCACTGCTTTCTTCCGGCCTCCTTTGCTGGTTCAATTTCGTAATTTCTCCTGTCGATCTGCTGACTTCAAGGTCACCCAGAAAACACATGCTCAGGGCTAGAGTTATGTGCGGTATCTATAGAAATACTGCAAGTGCAGGATGCCTCCACACACCCGCTCACGCCCATCAAGTTATGCCAGCCTTCTTTCGTTACAGTTGGGAAGCTTAAGCTGTCCGACTACACTTAACAAGGGACGTGAAGGTCACTGAGGATTGTTATGATGCCATGGGAATGGTCATTTGATAAGGTTGCCACTGTTGGGTGGTCTTTTGGTGGTCAGGAGGTAGCTGGGGATTCCCAGAAAGGTGTGTTCAACTCACTTTTCTCTTCCATTGATTTCCTGGAAATTTTTGTGCTGTGTTTCCTCTGCAAATGTAGTTTCCCTTCTGTTATATGGAAGTTGGAAATAATAGCTGGATTATCAACCCCCAGAAAGTCTAAAAATATGGAGAAGGTGCTCTCCAAGGAGAGTCATGCTTCCATTTTCTTGAGTGTCTTTCATAAGGATAGGATTATCTGCCGTGCTTGACCATACCAATGGCCCATCCTGTTTCCCAGTGGACAAATGTTTCCAAGAAGCCTGTGAGCAATGCATGAACTTAACAGCTCTCTTCTGTTTTTGTCCCTAGCACTTGATATTCAGTGATACTCTGAACATGGAGGTTCTGTTCAGCAGTCATGGCTAATGGCCATTGGTAGACGTGCCCTCCATTAATTTATCTGCTCCAGTTTTAAATCACCACATATTTTGATAGAAAAATCTGTAAGTGTTGTGTGAAGAAGTATTCCCCCAATCGGTTTAATTGAGTGACCCTAATTTCATCCATCGCAAACACAAACAATGCTGATTTTTGGTCAATTCCCAGACAAAGCAGAGCACATCCAAAGTTGGGTGGGAGACTCGCATGCCAGATACGCCAAAAAGCCAACATCTCCTTGGTTTCTGAATCATGGCGGGTCACAGAATTTCATCTTTTTCTTAACCCCCTCACCCCTTGCTCTCTTAACATCTGTTTGAAACCACTGGGTGAAACTGGCCACAGATATGAGATGAAGTGATGACATCTAGCTTTATTTTACATGCCTTTTTTGATCACACTCTAGGAGGCAGTGGAAACCTTGAACATTGTCAGCTATGAGATACTGGACCATGCAGCAAAACAAGATGGAACTTAATCCAGATTAGATAAAACAATTGTTGTTTGGGGGTGGAGAATATGATAATCCAGGTATAGGTGTTCAGTTCATTTTGAATGAGGTTGCACAAGTTCACAGCCTGAGGTGCTACTTGAATTGGATGGTCCGTTGGGGCAGTGAGTAGTAGTACATTTTTACCAGCTTTGGCTGATATGATTTCCTGTAAAAGTTAGAGCTCGCCATAGTCATTCATATTGTAGCGCTCTCCAGATTGAACTACTGTCAAGTGCTCTGTGTGGGGTTGCCCTTAACACATCTGGAAACTTAAAACTGGTGCAAGTTGTCTGGGGCCAGACAGTTGACGCAGTCTGTTGATGTTTGTTCTGCCCTGATTACTTATTGGTTTCCAGGTTCAATTTGAGGTGCTAATTCTTACCTTTAAAGCCTGCTTGACTTGATACATGGATACCTTTTGGACCATATAGTCTTCTGTTCCTCCTCCTCCCATGCACCCAATGCACGCAATGTAACATTTGAGGTACTGCTCTGTTTCCCCCCACTGAATTTAGTGCACCAGCCATTCACGAGGAGCATGGTCTCTTGGGTTGTGGTGGTGAGCAACTAAGGAATGTCCTTTCCACCAAGGTCCACCTGACCCCATGCTGAAATTTTAGGTGCCTGGCTGGAGCCTGTCTTTTTTTCTAAAGGACTTTGGTGTCATCTGACTGCTGGTTCAGTTTTCTTTCTCTCTGTTCCAGTCCACCTTTTATTGATCTGCCTGTTGATGTGGTTCCTTTGTTGGGTCTGCTGTTGTCAGTGGCTTCTTTTACTATTTGTTTTTCTGTTTTGTGTTCTTGAAAATTGGTTATTGTTTTACTGTCACTATTTTTGCAAGAGGGATTCAAGCACCTACCTACTGCAAATTTAGATTTGCACAGTTAAAGTGGATCAAAGTGCTCTGTTACCCAGCGTTCTGTTACCCACAACAAATCCACTTTTTAAAAGAAATGGACTTTATGTAGTTTGGAAATGACAGGGAAAGGCATTGAAAAATCTGGGGTGACATATGAATACCTGCAAGTAAATCAGGAGGGATGCAAGACAAATATTTACTGTCATATACCTGACCTGCAAACAAATCAGAATATATGCTGAACAGAGGCGAAACATAATCTAGCCCATGGGTAGAACAACTAAGGCCCGGGGCCAGATCCAGCCCAATCGCCTTCTAAATCTGGCCCATGGATGGTCCAGGAATCAGCGTGTTTTTACATGAGTAGAATGTGTCTTTTTATTTAAAATGCATCTCTGGGTTATTTGTGGGGCATAGGAAATTGTTCTTTCCCCCCCAAAAAAATATAGTCTGACCCCCCACAAGGTCTGAGGGACAGTGGACCGGCCCCCTGCTGAAAAAGTTTGCTGGCCCTTGATCTAGCCCCTCTGCATAAGCTTAACAAAAGCTATCAGGGTGAATGCCAAATAAACAGGTTATCTGAAAGAGCCCTTAGCCACTTCTGTTTCTTCTGAGGGCCCCTCCAAACATCCTTTTTATTGTGCATTCATAATGATTTGTGCTCATGATGCTGTCAGGGAGGTCACACACAATCCTGCTTTCAATACTGTCGGCGCCTGCAGAGGTTTTATGACGGTCATGCTGCTTCATTTCCAATCAGTGCCTATCCTGTAGATTTCCTGCTGAAATCCTGTAGCTTCTTATGCCACAAATGTTCTGGCTTATTTTGGTTCTCCTTTTGTTGCGCCATAGTGCCTCCGCACAGCAACAATGTGGTAGCATCAGGGAAGCATTGCAGAACAAACGAAAGCAGAATAAATCCCCCACTATGATGTACTGTCGTTGTGTCCTGAACACGTTCCAGAGTACACCCACAATAAATTACTGGTCTGGAGGGACCCTGAATTAGAATGTGAGATATAAATTTAAAGAGAAAGAAGGAAGGAAGGATGGAAATGTTGCTTAATGGAACACCGCGGACCACAACATTTGTGTTCCTTGCTTGCTCTGCTTCTGGAAATCTGAACTGCATTCATTCTGCCTTCTTCCTCTGCCTAATCTGCTGCAAGGACATACTGAAGATTCTTTCTGGCAGCTGGGACTCCTATCTAGATGTTAAGGTAACAATATAATGTCCTTAAGCGGTGCCCTACTGCTGCTGCATACCGAATTGGAAGGAGGCTCCTGCAGGATCATCTCCTCAACCTCCTGTGCCTCAAGGCAGAATACCTGTTCTGAGCAAAGCTGAATAAACAAAGCCCCTGATCGTTCTGATTGCTTTGCTTTGCAAAAACATTCCAAGCTAATCAAAAATAATTTGTGTTTTAAGGTTTTCCAGGGCCTCCTCCCCAGATTTTGTGATCATGGTATGGTACCTCCCCCTTGCAGACTTCTCCCTTTTCTCCCTCTGACCACTCATTGGCGTCCCATCACCAGCCCCCTGGTTCTGAGCCTTCTTCCCTTGGGGGTTTCCTAGCTGGTGCCTCCCAGCACTCCTCTGCATCCAGCCAGTCCATGACGGAAGGGAATCTAAGGAACTCACCCAAGATTTCTTAAAGGAAATCAAATTTGAAATTGCTTGTCTCCTAACAAAAACAATATCAATTAGCAGCCACGCAATAAGAAGGCAGGTTCTTTTATGGATTAGTAATTGGTTAAGGAATAGGAAGCAGAGAGTAGGAATATATGGAAAGCTATCTCAGTGGTCAGGACGCAGGTGGTGCTGTGGGTTAAACCACAGAGCCTAGGACTTGCCGATCAGAAGGTCAGGGGTTCGAATCCCCGCAACAGGGTGAGCTCCCGTTGCTCGGTCCCTGCTCCTGCCAACCTAGCAGTTCAAAAGCACGTCAAAAGTGCAAGTAGATAAATAGGTACCGCTCCGGCGGGAAGGTAAACGGCGTTTCCATGTGCTGCTCTGGTTCGCCAGAAGCGGCTTAGTCATGCTGGCCACATGACCCAAAAGCTGTACGCCGGCTCCCTCGGCCAATAAAGCGAGATGAGCGCCGCAACCCCAGAGTTGGTCACGACTGGACCTAATGGTCAGGGTCCCTTTACCTTTACCTTTATCTCAGTGGTAAGAGGTGGGGTCCCCCAAAGATCTGTATTCTGACCTGTGCTTTTTAACTTGGATCTGGAGTTAGGGTGAGCAGTGACATGAGGTGGCCTAATTTCTTGATGACATCAAATTATTCAGGGTGCTAAAAACAAAAAGTGTTTGTGACGTGCCCCCAAAGAATCTGTTAAAACTGGGTAAATGGGCAACATTATGGCAAATGTGATTCAGTGCCAGTAAGTGTGAAATGATGCACAGTGGGGGCAAAGCATCCTCATATTTCATAGGCGCTGATGCTGTCCAAGCTGAAGGTGTGTGACCAGGAAAGAGAGATTGGGGTGGTGGTGGGTAGCTCAAGGAAAATATTGACCTGTGTTAAGCAACTGTGAAAAAAGTTGAACAGCATGCTGAGTGCCAGGACCTCATGATAATTGCCTCCAAATTCTTCTTGATACTCACAGTGAAGAACCCAGTGAAGGCCACTTCTCTCCCCACTTCTGTTGCCATGAAAAGTAGGGAACAAATGGGAGCAACTACTCTGGCTAATTCTGAGCTGAGCCTCAATTTTGGAGGGGT